GGGTGTTGTTTTGTGGATTAATGCTAGGCGTTGGGGTGTGAGGTACCAGCGAAATAGCATCTTGTATGCTTGTTCCGCATATTGATATCGAGGCCGTAGTTTCCCAGATATCTGCCCAGTCTGTGTTGTCTTCTGGGAGTCCTAGATCTTTCCCAGGCTGCTATGTAAGTTAGTGTTACTTGGGTGGGGTGGGTTGCTAGGTCCGAGATTTGACCTTTTCTAATTAGGTGGTGTGCGCATTCTTTCTCAAATCGGGTGAGTGTGGCTGTACCGGCTTGTTGTATTATTGGGGTTGATGCGAAGCTGCGTAACTGAATATATCGGAAGTGGTCAAATGTTGTCAGTGTGTCCGCGTCTTGGATTTCCGAGTATTTTATTACTGCGTTGTTTTGGTACAGGTGGTTGAGTCTCACGATGTCCCTTTGGTCGAAGTGGGCAAAGTGGGAATAGTTTGGTCCGCCATATCGGGGGCATTGGGGAGAGGAACAAGGACAGTTCATATTTGTCCTGCAGTTTGTCCCAAAGGTCCAGGGAATGTGTGATGGCTGGGGCGGTTGGGGTTGCAGGGGGCGGTGTGGTTTGGGGACCCACATGTATAGGGATGGATGGTCTTTTCCAAAGATTATGTGTTCGAGGTCTAGCCATCTTTTGGTTTGTGGTGGGGTGTGCCAGTGTTGGATCTGGGCTAATTGCGCTGCTGCGTAGTAGTGTGTGAAGTTCGGTAGCCCTAGGCCTCCGTGTTTTTTGGGGACCTAAAGTGTGGTTCTACTGACTCGGCCATTCCATATAAATTTATCGACCGCCGTTTGTAGGGCTTTGAGATCCGCTTTGTGGGGTGGGATATGCAGCGTCTGAAAGAGGTATAGCAATCGGGGGAGTAGGTTCATTTTTACAGACGCCACCCGACCCAGCCAGGACACTCCCAGTGTCGTCCACCTTTGCAGGTCGGCATGTTCTATGCGTAGTAACGGGGTGTAGTTCTTTGCGGATATAGTGGTTAAGTCAGCTGGTAGCTGTATTCCCAAGTATGTTATGGCTGATGGGCATATTCGGAATGGGTATCTATTTTTTATGCTGGTTAGTTGTGAGTCGAAGAGTTGAATCGGCAGGATTTCCGATTTTGCTAAATTCAGCTTATATCCTGCAACCAGTGCGTATTCATGTATGCCATCTAGGAGGGATTCTAATGATTGGTCCGGGTTGGTTAGTGTCAGGAGAATATCGTCTGCATAGGCAGACACAGTGTATGGTTCGCCTTTGATAGTTACTCCTTCTATGCGAGGATTGGTGCGAATTGCTTGGAATAGGGGCTCTAAGGATAGTGCGAATATAAGGGGCGATAGTGGACAGCCTTGTCGTGTGCCATTCGATATTGGGAATCTAGGTGGGAAGGAGGAGGGCTCCATGGGGGGAGTGGTATGTTGCTTGTAGGAACGCAAGAAATGCACTCGGGAAGTTCATATGGTCTAGTGTGCGGTAGAGAAAGGACCACAGTAGGCGGTCGAAGGCCTTTTCGGCATCTAGTGAGATCACTGTTGTGGGGATTTTGCGGTGTTGTGTCAGCCCGCTTGGGCTGGGTGTATTAGTTTGTCTAGGTATGGGTTGATTCTATTGGCCATCATCCTTCTCATAATTTTGAGATCCACATTTAGTAGGGAGATGAGTCTGTAGTGTTCGGGTTCCGTGAGGTCCTTGTTGGATTTAGGGAGCAGGCAGATATTTGCCATCGTTATGTTGGGTGGCAAATGGTCTCCTCTTAGGCTAGCATTAAATACTGCGCAGAGGTGTTTGAGGAGTAAGGGGCTAAACTCTTTGTAGTAAAGAGCGGTATATCCGTCTGGGCCTGGGCTTTTGTTAGGTTTGCAGGCCCCAAGGGCTATCGTCATTTCTTCTACTGTCGCCTCTGCTTCTAGGATTTGTTTGGCGGCTTCAGATAGGGTAGGTAGTGTTATACGTTGGAGGTAGTTGTCTATCCCGGTAGGCGGTGGTGTCATGGCGGAGGTGTGGTGAGTGATTGTACAGGGATTCAAAGTATTGTTGGAATGTATCGCCTATTTGTTCGGGTGAGTCGCTGAGTGAGCCTGTCCTTGTGCGTATGTATGATATTTTTTTGGCTTCCATGCGTTTTTTGAGCCGTCGGGCTAACATGGTGTCGGCTTTATTGCCTGTTTCATAATATTTCTGTTTGAGCCACATTAGGGCTTTGGTCGTGTCCGTGCGCATGAGTCTTTTAAGGAGATCTCTGGTGGCGTTTAGTTTGCGCATTGTATTTGGCTGTGGGTCGCGTTTATGGCTAGTTTCTAGTTTTCGCAGCTCAGTCAGCGTCTCTGTAATTTGCTGTGTTTTCCTTTTTTTTGTGGGCTGAAGCTAAGCTAATGAGGGTGCCTCTGATAACTGTTTTGTGTGCAGCCCATAGTGTTGTCGGTGAGGTTGCGGAAGGTGTGTTAGTGTCAAAATATAGTTTGATGGCTTCGGCGACTGTGAGCTTAATCTGGGTGTCGTGGAGGAGCAGTGAGTTCAGTTTCCATGACCATGGTCATTTTAAGTCAGGGAGGCGGATGATGAGCGATATGTCGGCGTGGTCTGACCACGAGATGGTGCCTATGTTAATGCTAGATACTTGGGGTAGTAAATTTGGGGAGATTAAAAAGTGGTCTTTGTGTGAGTATGAGGTGTGTGGGTGCGAATAGAAGGTGTAGTCCCGGGTAGATGGGTGTTGTGCTCTCCATATGTCAACTAGCGTTTGTGTGGTTAGGAATTGGGCGAAGTAGGTGTCAGTTCGGGAGGGTTGTGGGACTTCTGCCCCCTGCGATGATCTATCAATGGCTGGAACGTGTGCGGCATTGCAGTCTCCACCTATTATCAGGCGTTTGCCTGCGTAGGCCTGTAAGTGTGTGGCGTATTGTTGCCAGAACGTGCCGTTTGGGGTGGTGGGGCGTATACTGAGCTTATGGTATAAGGAGTTGTGCCTATTTTCCCGTCTATTTTGACGTAGCGTCCTTGGGGGTCCGTCGTGCACTTAATGTCCATTAAGGGGCATGTGGATTTCATTATCATTTCGTTTTAGTGTCCGGGGAATTGGCCAGGTAACTCTGTTTACATTAGCTGTTGGTGAGGGGAAACGATCGTGTGGTTGTGAAGTGAGTTTATTGCAGGAGTAGTATGTCTACGTGTTGCCTATGTGCCCAGCGTAGTAGTCCATTTTTTTTAATGGGTGTGTTAAGGCCCTTGGTATTGATGGAGATGCATTTCAGGGAGAGGGGCATTGTGATGGTTGTTATACCGGGTTGAATCCAGTGTTAGCTATGGAGTATAGCGTGTTGGCGGGTGGTGTGGCAGTTGGGCTAGGGCGCGGGCTGGGGCTCCGTGCCATGGCAATGGGTTGAAAGGAAGAGGTTATGGGGATGGAGTGGTGGTGGGGGTGGAGAGGAAAAGGGTAGGGTAGTAGTTCTATATGTGGGGGGCCCTAGAGGGCCGAGCTACTGGTCTTACTCGTTGCCAGTAGGTGGTGGAGTGGTTTGCCTGACTGCTCCTAAGGTGTGAGGGATTAGATTAGGAAGTGTGTTGGTAGGTAGTGGCGGGTAGCCTGAGTCGCGTGCAGGCCCTTTGTTTGAGTCATTGCAATTCCTCATGGGGGTGTGTTCTATTCGTTCTGTGTGCGAGTGGTTGGTGTCTGTGGCATCGCCCTGCCCCCTCAAAGGTAGAGCGGTCCGGAGGGAGCAGGGAGAAGCTTTATGTGTACGTTTCATAAGGGTGTAGGGTGTGTGTGAGCACTGTACCCAGAATTGTCTGTTGGTGGATGAGTTTGGTTCGCTCCGATGGGTGATGGGTCTTAGTGTGTCTGTCGCCTTGTGTGTCGGTCTTCATCATCCCTTGGGGGTTGTGGTGTGTAGCTTCCAATTGAGTCTTCTTGTCCCTATGCGGGATAGATTTAGGTCACATGTTAAAGTATAATAAGCATTAACATATCAAATAGTGTGCCGTCGAATAGCATTACAATGTCAATACTGTTGTGTTCCCAATGTGTTATACATTATACATAAATCGTAAGTAACATTAACCTATTGAACTTTTTTTTTTTTTTTTCCCTCTCTCAGTTTTTTTCTCTTTTCTGTTTGTTGTTTCATTTCTCGGGTGCATGGAGTTTTCCTGGGTTATGGGTGATTTTATTGCTTTTTTCCTTTTTCCCTTCCCTTTTAAGTAATTTCAATGAATTATTTTTTTTCCTCTGTTTGTTGTTTCATTTCTCGGGTGCATGGAGTTTTCCCTGGGGTTAGGGGGGCCAAGGGGGGTGTTATGAGTGCTTTTTTTTCCTTCTTTTTTTTTTCCTTTCCCTTTTATGTAATTTCATTTAATTTTTATATTTTTATTTTTTTTACACTTGTATAGAGCGAGGGTTTATGTTTCAGGTTTGCAGTACATTGTGGTATTCTGCAGGTAGAGCCTTAGGGTAATGATGTCGCTTGTGTGTCCAGGGTAGGGAGTTCGCCCACCTTGTGGAGGCAGGTGCAGTAGCATTAAGGGCTCATTCCTGCCTTGCCTACCCCTGCCTGGGTGGGCACTGTCAGTGCTTTATCTTATGGGATCGAGGGTATGCTTTGTGTGGTGAGCATTTCCCTATCTCGATTTATTTATGGGGTCTGGTTTGCTCTGGACCTCCTGAGGATGGGGGGAGGTTCTACTCCACCTTTGGTGGTTATCTCTGGGGTGGGATGTTGAGGGGGCAACGATGGACATGGCTCCCCTTAGGTGTCGATATAGATAGATGGGGGTATGAGTGTTATGTTTTCAGCGCGTAGTGCGCTTGTATGTGTATATGTGGTATGTACATAGAAATTAAACATGCATGCAACAGAATTACAGGAATAAATACAGGTTAGCATTGTGAGTAACTATATCTTAGCTCATTTTCTGGCGGTGTCAATGCTGTGTGCTGTCGAGCTGTCGGGTATGTGAGAGTCTTAGGCGTGCTGTGTGTCAGTGTCCATGGAGGTGTAAACGAATGCAGTCCATGTCGGGAAATCGGAGTTGTGAAGTTCTGGGCGTGCGGTGTCTGTCTGCAGACTGGCGTTGGTTAGTCCCGGTTGGCAGGGTTCGGATCTTCTGTCGGTGAGTGGCGTCGTTGGTGGTCCGCCTCAGCTCTTCTGGGTGGAGGTGTTCGGGCCGCGTTGGATGCCTCTCTGTGGTTGGTGTCTGCGTGGGGTAGGCCCAGCCTCTCTGCAAAGCTGCTTGCCTCTGCAATGTCGTGGAGTGTATATATTTGGTTATTTCTTCACACCGTGAGTTTGAAAGGGTGCCCCCACGAGTATCAGATCCGTCTCCGCGTGAGTTCCTGGGTAAGTGGACACAGCTCTCTTCGCTTTCGCAAGGTGCTGGGGGCCAAGTCCTGGAAGAAAAGGACCTGGTGTCCCTCTATTTGGAGGGGTGTGTCCCATGTGGCTCTCATTATGGCCTCTTTGATGTGGTAGTAGTGGAGCCGCACAATCACATCTCGTGGCCTTGTCATTGCAGGAGTGGGGGCCCGTGGGCGCGATCCAGTAAAAGCTCGGCTGCAGGTGCTTCCGGGAGCAGACTACAGAAGGTTTCCCTGATGGTGGATGAGAGGGACTCCATATCGATTGCAGGTATGCTCCATATCGATTTCAGGTATGCCCCTTATTCTTATATTATTTCATCTTGACCTATTATTTAGGTCTTCTTGGGCGTCCTCTAGCTGTTTCACCTGGTCCCTAAGGTCTAGTATGGCCTGCTCGTGGGTGTTTTCTCTAGATGTGGCGACGTCCATTTTGTCTTCCAGGGTGCTGGTGCGTTGCACGAGATCCGTGAGGCCTGCCCGTAGGGGAGCCAGGTGCTTAGTAAATTCCGCCGCCATGTTTGCCTTAATTTCGTGCAGCAAGCCGCGGAGGTCATCCTTTGTGATGGGGTTCGTGTTTTGGTGACTTATGTCACTAGCTGTGGAGTCATAGTCTGTATTCTCTTCGGCCCGCTGTTCCTCCTCCGTTTTGCGGCTATGGAAGATCGGAGCCACAGCAGACCCATGTTTTGATTTGCGTCCTCCGCCCATCTCAGTGAGTGTACCGCCAGTTGATGATGATTTTGCAGGTTTTTGGGCGTTAATTGGTGTAGGAATTGCGGCTGATATTAGCTTTTGAAGGGCCTGGTTGTGCGGAGCTCTAGCTATACACCGCCATTTGCACCGGAAGTCAGGCGCCGCCTGGTTGAACTGATTTAAACTCACCAACCTCTGTGATTGTACTATTCCATGACATTGGAAAAAAAATAATAATAGCACTATAGGGTGATGGGAATAGCACAGAGGCTCCAGCACAAGTATGCAAATTTTCTTGCCATTTTTGATAAAGCCCCAGAGGTGAAACGCGTTAAATGGTTTTATACTGTATATTTTTTAACAATAAAAGTTTTATTTGGTAATCCTTTTTATAGGGCCAATCTTATTTTATTGTATATACACTTTTCCTTCAATTTATTAATTTTCCTGGCATTCTACCATATCCTGCTCAAGCAATCCATAGGTGGGGTTTAGTCCACCAGAGCTGTACCTATAGAGCAGTATTTTCTGCTCTATCATTGTGAGTATATTTTATTATTATTTTATTTCCTTTTATCCTTTCACAATGAGAGCACTATTATTGTCTCCATATATTCTACGGACCACTACGGACACCAAGTTAGACGGACAGATCTACTGCCACCATTTATCCTCAAGCGGGGATTATACCGCTAAGTGCCCTTTATCCAAGAGCTGGTCCAAAGCTCCATCAAATGTGAGTGTATTATCCTCCATTTTTTATTTCATTTATCTTTTAAGTAACATACTACAACATTGGAATTTTGTCGTGCTTTTATCTTCACATATATGGACTATCCACAACCAGGACGGATAAACTCGTGAGGATTGTATATACGCTTAGTGAGACGATATTATACATTTTATTGGACATTTTAGTATTTGATCTCTACTATTGCATGGACTTTGTTTTATCTATTTTTTATTATTGTATGGATTCTGTTTTATTCATCGTATTATATTAACATCAGTTTATATATTGTGAGTTATTCATTTTATAGCGCAGCCCTTCACCCCCTTTTTTTCCTTCTTTGTTGTTACCAAGGGTTTTTGAGGGATTCCCTTTTTAGGGTTGCAGCTTCTATTTATTGTTACTTAGCGCAGACTCCTCCTCTTTCTTCTTTTTTACAAGTATGCAAATGTCTCAGGATATGCAGTGTTTCAAACAGATTCCTACCAATATGGCAATTTCTAAATGCAGAAGTGCTTGTGGTGGTTGGAGTAACCCTTTAAATATTAAAGAGGATGCTATTTCGTCTTTTCTGTCTTGTTGATACATTACTTTAATTTTTTTTTATGCTGCAACATTGGCAGTCTGTCTTTGTACTTGCAGCAATATTTGTATCTAATGAAGGTTGTTGCTAGGATCAGTTGTGCAGGTAATCCTATTGGTTGTCATCTACAATGCATTGTTGTTATTATTATAAGATAACTTTTATATTGTGTGTCTTCACCTATTACTGCAATGAAATGTCATATTGAAAGGTCAGCACATTTCTGATAAAAAGAGCAAAAAACAACAATGCTTTTTCAAGTGAAACAAAAAGAGATATATTTACATCTACTGGACCATTAACTGCCTAAGCAGAAATGAAAGAAGAATTATTGCGTGAAAGTTGACATTGATAACATGGAGAGAGTCACAAAGTCTGCAAATGCATTTAAATTATAAACACTGACTGCTTTGTTACAATGGCAAGATAGTTAAACTATTGCTTTGTGTGTTTGTGTGTGAAATACATATTGTTCTATGTCTTTTTTAGAAGGTCATTGAAAAGGACATTGGTCACACAGTTGATGTATCTTGTGTATACTAGACACATAGGAATTGCCTCTGCCTTAATTTTAATATGTGCTTTAAAGAATGTTAATGACTATAAATAGCTATTTAGCTACACCAGTATATCTCAACATAATGTGATCTTGTGATCTATGTCATGATCACTAATAGCATAGCACAGGGCTGAAGTTCTGGTTAACCCTTTAGTGACCAGATCATTTTTAAATTTTCTTACCATTAAGGACCAGGGATGTTTTTAAATTTCTGTGGTGTTTGTGTTTAGCTGTAATTTTCCTCTTATTCATTTACTGTACCCACACATATTATATACTGTTTTTCTCGCCATTAAATGGTTTTTCTAAAGATACCATGATTTTCACCATATCATATAATTTACTATAAAAAATATAAAATATGATGAAATATTTAAAAAAAAAACACATTTTTTTGAACATTGACCCCAAAAATCTGTTACTCCAACCACCAAAAAACACCCATGCTAAATAGTTTCAAAATTTTGTCCTGAGTTTAGAAATACCCAATGTTAACATGTTCTTAGCTTTTTTTGGAAAGTTATAGGGCAATAAGTACAATTAGCACATTAGCTATTTCCAAACCATTTTCTTTTTCAAAAAAACACAAGTTACACTGTAACACTATCTGTTAGGAATCCCTGAATAACCCTTCACATGTATAGATTTGATAAAAGAAGACAACCTAAGGTATTAAACTTGGGGTATTTTGACTCTTTTCATGCAACAATTTTACCACCAATCTATGCCAAATAAAAAAAAAAATTATAATAATTGGTGATTTTTTTTTTGACACACATAGCAATTTAAGAATTCATGTACAAAAATGTTTAAGGGATACTGCCAAAGAACACCCCAATATGTGTACAGCAACATTTCCCGAGTACAGTGATACCAGCCATGTATAAGTGTGTTGGATTCTCTGGGGGCTAAAATACCTTATTTGGAGGGTGTGCATTCCAGTTTTTCAACTTGGAATTTTCACAGTTGGTCATCATGCACCCATTTCCTATTTGGGGCATTTTTGAAGCCAGCCAATGTAATTTACTCCCATCAAACCATATATTTTTGAAAAGTAGATAACCCTGGGTATTTAATATGGAGTATGTCCAGTCTTTTTTAGTAAAAATGAAAATACAGCGCACTCACTTATCTACTAAACAGTTATTTCAGTGCTGAACAATTTTGTTAGTTTTATTAAAAACACCTAAACTAGGCAAAAAATAATGGGGGTTTAGTTACAGTATATGATCATACATTGCATAAGCTAAATGAGCTACTCACTTGGGGAAATCCTTCCATCTCGAGTTCTCTGCAGTACAAGGCTTAAATAGGGTCCTGAGATGAGGCACCTGTAACAGGGAGGGGTGCAAAACCCAAGGAGCTGGCTAGACTCCTAAATACATATAGGAGAAAACATATAGGAGAAAAAATTATATTTTAATATCCTAATATTCACCTTCAATAAAGGTTTCTACCACTTATATGAATTTTTACTTTTAAAGGTACTTATTTTGGTGGAGTGGGAGCCCGCACACTTAAAGTGGGCGGTCTTCCCATCCCACTTTATTTTTCGTTTATACCAAAGGCTTATACCATATCTATGGATACTTAATTCGTTTAGAGGTTCTCGTTTATGGAGGAGGGACCGCCCAAATATTTGTGAGGAGTTATCCTGACGCCATTTAGTAGTTTCTATTCTTATTTTTACATTTTTTTATTTATTTTTAATTAATTATTATTTATTTTTTATAATACTATATATAGTTATTATATATGTTACATATATACATGTGTAATTTTACTCTAAGTCTATTTTTATATTAATATATGTATATATTAATAAAAAAAAAATACACTTAGTATGATGTTATATATAAGATATATATATAAAAAATGTTTTTCTTAACTGAGTGCCTAGACCTCTCGATGCACTCAGCACAGTCAGAGCATCGGAAGCCTGTCTGATGGCTTCCGATGCACTACCTCACTGCCAGACGCCACGTGGGAGAAAGGAGCAATCACCCGGCGGCCCGGCAGTGAGGGAGGTTATTGCAGGATGCTTCAACATCGAGGCATCGCTACAATACCGTTAGAGCGTCTGGAAGCGATCATGATCAATTCCAGTGCACTAATTTGCAGCGGACGTATCAGGTATGTCTGTGGTCCTTAACTACTGTTTTTTTGTCGGAAGTACCTGATAAGTCCAAGGTATAGGCACCCAGACCACTTCAGCTCAATGAAGTGGTCTGGGTGCCAGGTCCCCCTAGTTTTAGCCATGAAGCTGAAAACATACCAGTTTCAGAGAAGGGTTGACAGCCACTAGAGGCCGCTTCAGCGATTTACACTGAGTAAATCGCACTTATCTGATGCTGGATGTCCTCATGGAGTCCAGCGTCAAATAAGATCCCCTTAGGAGAGCATTGAGTAATGCTTTCCTATGGGCGGGTTTGAATGCATGCACGCCTCTGGCTGCCACTTGGGAGCTGACGTCGACGGGGGAGGAGAGGTCACCATTGCTGAGGGAACCCAGCACTAGATTAAATTAAGTGGTTGAAGGGGTTTTAACCCTTCAATGCCAAAGGGGGGCTCTCCAAGAGCCTATAGAGCCAGGAAAATGGGTTTGTTTTCCTGGCACTATAGAATCACTTTAAGCACATTTAAATGAATTAGACATGAAGAAGGTTATTCACTAAACTGAGAATTCAAAATAATATTATCAACTTTAAGGTCAAAATAGCTAACTGGATAAATTCTCTATGACAGCTATGCTTCCATCTGACTACTCTGGCCTTAAATCGGAAATTTACTTTAAATTCTCACTCTGTTAGAAAGTTAGATCCCCTTTAACACTTTCTTTCACTTTTATTTATGTATCATATGTATTACTTGTTTGTTTTCAAAATTATATTGTTATGTTTTGTTAAAAAAAAATCAATGAAAACTATTTGAAAAGAAAGTTACACTATCTTCTACTAAAGTCTGCACTAGTAACCAAATACAATATTTCTACAATATATCTCTAATAGATTTGGATTACTTTACTAGCAACACTGCAGACTCCTCAAACAGACTTATCAGAGGTAGGAAGTTAAGAAGTTTTTCAGGACTGGTCACAGACAAATTCAAGGTCAAATCGCAGCAGAAGACATTCAATAGGCAGG